AAACACTTTTGAAAATATGCTAAAAATTCAAAATCTTGATGTTGATACCACAAAAAAAGTTAAAGTTTGTTGACCTAAAATGACCTCTGACCTTAACTTTGTGACCTGAATTCTACTCACATGATTGGGGATACTTGAGTACCTTATAGTCCAAGTTTCATTGACTTAGGACTTATACTTTCAAAAATTCAAAAACTTAACCCTAAGTTAAGTTTTTGATGTTGACGCTGTCAACACCGCCAACGCCGCCGCAGTCACCGGAAAAGCAGCGCCTATGTCTCGTTTTTTTTTTTTTTTTGCTACGCAGGCGAGACAAAAATTGTATTTTACTCACTAAAGTACCGATTTTTAGTGACATCAGTTGAGTTTTGTACAGTGGTGTTTGAAATGTTGAGAATCAATAGAACAGTTTTTAATACAGCAGCAATTGGAGCCACAGTTTTCAAATTAAATACGGTAACCCATACAAAGAAACCAGTTCAAACCAAGTACAGGTTGGGCAACGTCACCCTGGAAGAAGTGCAACACCACCCCTACCTGAATTCAAAGGGACTCGGTTGGGCCACACATATTGACCAAACTTCATCAAATTATATGTAGGCTCAAATTAGAGTTCTATGCAGCTACATGTACAGTACATGGGACCCACAGCATAAGTCAGACCAGGACAAACTAAACATTCACAACGAGGGACTATGACAGGGAATCAAGTGTTACAAAGATGCTGGAAAATCAAAAATGGGAATCTTTGAAAGTCCGCAGAACCAAAGCCAGACTACCTGCATTGTATAAGGAAACACATAACACATGGATTAACACCCAGCAACATATCAACTTATCTTCTCATTTGAAAATGGTGCTACGGTACATACTTTATACTCTTTGCATTGCAGCTTTCTTGCATATTTATGCATCCACAACAACCACTGAGCTGATACGAGTTTTAAGCAACTACCCAAAGGTTGATATTTAAAAACTAGATATCTTCGAAACAATGATATTTCCACCTTTCAATTAACATCAAATACTCCACTTTTGAAATTGATCATGTCTGGTGACGTCGAGCGTAATCCAGGACCTGAACATTCAAATTCGTTATGTCATACACTCAATTGTCTACTACTAAATGCCTGTTCCCTTGGTAATAAACTGAATGACCTGAAAGTGAGTTACTTCCGATAAAATAGATGGATGAACTCCGATTCCTGCGATGGTGAAATCTTAGATGTACAACAATATCAAATCTTTCGTAAAGACCGCAATCACAATGGAGGAGGTGTACTTTTTGCATGAAAACGATTCACGGCTCCGAGTTTGAGATTCCCAGCTGCGAGTTGTTATGGATTCAATTTAGTTTACCACGAAATAAAGGCAAGCTCTTTTTGGGTGTATCGTCCCCCATCATCTACCTGAGGAACTGTATATTTTGTCCGCTTTCTTTGTCCGTCATATTCATAGTCGTAGATTTACGGAAAACGATTGAATTTATTCCATGGAATCTATTTATTGATGAAGAGAGCATTGATAACACGTGTGAACTTCACACTGACTTGTGTTGCAGGCAACAATCAAAGATGTATTTATCAAAGGAAATAGTTAGAATATCCAGAAGAAAGAGAAGAGCTTACAGAAGAGCTTACAGAAGAGCTTTAATACAGGAAAGCAAGGAAAGCAAAGAAAGCAAAGAAAGCAAAGAAAGCAAAGAAAGCAAAGAAAGCAAAGAAAGCAAATAATCACATACTTTACATGGAAAGAGGATTTCCATAACAATGAAACACCTTGCTCTATTGTGTACACTCCAAGACATTTAAATGCCATTACCAAATCATGCATGCCCAAGTCTTGCCAGTATCATTCTTTGAGTATTTAAATAGAGGAACAGCTGAAAAGTCTTTTATCTAATCACACGTTGAAAAGTGATTGTTATAACTTTCACTGATTGTGCATATATTAAGATGCATGGTGGGAAATCAATTGTTCAGGCAATGATTATTCATCAGCTCATCATGTTTATGCATAAGTCACAAGAAATGTTGGTGAGGAGGGGATAAGTTGTACTAACTGTCCAAAAACTCTTTATCTGTTGGTAAGGTATATATGGAGGAGACTGCACTTGTACTGGATGTGACGCCATGTTCACATGCAGGGCCAGATCATCAGTTGGGGGGAAAATGGGGTTAAAATTTGTGGGGTAAGTATATGCTGTATATCTGGCCCTGTTGTCACAGTTCCATGTTAGTAGTTTTCTGCTGGCATGGATCTCCCCTGATCCTCCCCTGATGGCAATTTTCGAATATGATAAATCAAAATATATCAAAGCTCTCGACATATCTTGAGCATTTCTCACTCTGTTTAACCATTATTTTCGTGCATTTGTTAGATGTGTATTTATTGTTTTGTTTTTGAGACTTTGAGACGGTTTTAGTAATGTAGTAAAACATGCTGATGCGTATTGACCTCTAGCGCGGTATACTTGCTGAGAGGGAGCTCGATTTGAATTTTCAAAGTATTCTTTTAGTTTCTAACATCATTAAGTTGAAACAAGGGAAACGCTCTCGGCGGTCTCGCCTGCATTACGCAATTTGTTATGATGAAAAATTGAAGTTGGAACATTATTATAGGCAGGGTGGCCATTAGCAGGCCCCAAAAATGAAATCCTCTGAATATAATCAGCATTTTGAAGTGAATATTGAACAAATAACAAAAATTGATTCATTTATTCTCATATTAAGTTGTGAAAACATAATCCAAGACTACTGACCTAAAATGACCTTTGACCTTGTGACCTGGAATTTGTGAAATATGATTTGTGATACTTGAACAAACACTTTTGAAAATATGCTAAAAATTCAAAATCTTGATGTTGATACCACAACATAGTCTAAGTCTGTTTGACCTTTGACTTTGTGACCTGAAATTCAACTCACATGATTGGGGATACTTGATAACCCTAAAGTCCAAGTTTCATTGACTAAGGACTCGTACTTTCAAAATTATATCAAAAATTAAAAAACTTAACCTTAGGTTAAGCTTTTGATGTTGACGCCGTCGCCGTCACTGGAAAAGCGGCGCTTAAATGTCTCGCTTTTTTGCTACGCAGGCGAGACAAAAAAGGAAGAGCCAGGTTATTCCTTATGTTATCTATTGTTCTGATAATTTCTCATGTATTTCTTTGTTTTTTAACTTATGTATTTTGTTGTTTTATTTCATTTCTAACTATAATTCAACTAATTTGACCCCCAAATAAGTATAAACAAGACCAAATAACCAATGTTTTATCTCTTTTTTGGAAAAATGAGATTTCCATATGTTTTGTACACAAATCACAAAAATGAGTGATTTGGGCTGACATGCACAGACAAAAGGTCGTGCGACTTTGTCCGTTTTTTGAAAAATATATTTCAAAAGATGCGCCAGACTTGAAAGAAAAAAGTTATACATTTCAGCGCAAGATTCTTTTGCGTTAAAAATGTATCAGGAAAAATGTAGGGCGGGGGCTTCTGAAGACCCCCCCCCCCCCCCCCCCAGGCTAGATAGGGCTAAAGATAAAGTTGATTTCTGGTCATGCGATTGCATTGTGAAAGAAACGGTGAGGAATCGATCAGAAAAGGTGTGAACTGCAAGGTTCTGGAATCATCAAAATGATAACAAATGTGGACCAGTCTTGGTAAAGTTACAAGCACTATACACAGAAATATGTATATGCAGGGCTTAAATTAATCCAAGGCCACCAAGGCCATGGATGCCCCTTTGATTGGCCTCAATGATTTTTTGTGCCCTTTCCAATTCTTCTTATTTGTGCTGTAATATAGGAATGTGCCCTGCAGAAAAGTGGCCTTGCCCTAAAAATGTTGAAATTTAAAGCCTGTATTTGGGACTACATGAACATTTGGCGTAAAAATCCGTCCGTTATGCTGTTACATGAAATATTTAGAATATTAAGGCATTTGAAGAGCCATGCTTTTCAGGAAACATTTGTTATCTGATGTTCTTCCAGACTTGTATAATAACAATGATAATTTATTTATTTATTTATTTATTTATCATTCTTCGTCATCTTTAAAAGTTTACAGCTGATGTGATCTTCACCAGTTGCTTTATCTATACTCAGATTATCAATCTGTTTCAATACAAAATCCTCAGTAATCAAATTCAAATTAAATTGCGAATGAGTTGGACCCATATTATTGTCCTCGTCTAATGCTCACAAATTATTGTTCACCTGTTCCCAGAACTCAACCTTCTCTTTAAGAGAGCCCTGTTAGCCATAGAAATTGCCTACGGGAAGTGGTCTTATTCTATACTTACTTCACAAACCCACGCTCCCATTATCCACAATAAAATTATACATATGGAGCAATCAAATTTGCATTTGCAAACTCTGCAAAAATCACATGATAATGATAATTAAACAAGTTAAACACAAAACACATAAAACAAAAGTATTTGGTTGTCCTTGACTGCCAGCTCGTCATTTTCGGGCAGCTCATCAAAACATCACCAAACACTAAAAAGGTGTAGATGATTGTACTAAGACACACCTCCTTACAACATTTGAAAGAAATCTGTCAAAAAATGTGGCAGTTAGAGCACATTAAAGACATATTTGACCTTTGACCATATAAAAGACGGAACAATGAGGGCAGCTTCACCCGAAGTGTCGATTGGTAACAAGATAACATTTCTAATTCTCCATACAAAATTTGAAAGATCATGAAATATGATCTGCAGAGCGCAAACTAGACACCCACCAAAATATGAACTCTTGACCCTATACAAGACGGAAAACTGGGGGCAGCATCACCAAAATCTATATGCTTGTAGATTATACCAAGATACATCTTTGTTGAAAATTTGAACAAAATCCCTTGAAAAATATGGCCTAAAGAGCACACACAAACCATCCAAAAAAATATGGCCTTTTAACCTATAGAAGACAGAACACTGGGGGCAGCATCACCAAAAGTTATAGGTGTGTAGATTATATCACGAGACACCTCCATACAAAATTTGAAAGAAATCCGTCAAGGAATGTGGCAGTTAGAGCGCACACAAGAATAAAATATGGCCTTTTACCCTGTAAAAGATGGAACATTGGGGGCAGCGTCACCAAAAGTTATAGGTGTGTAGATTATACCAAGATACACCTCCATACAAAATTTGAAAGAAATCCGTCAAGGAATGATGCAGTTAGAGCGCGCTCAAGAATAAAATAATATGACGCGGTGGCATAACGCTGCTGAATCCAAAGTACCCGCCGGCATACTGCCGGGGGATACAATTATTTCAAAGATGTTTTTATACAACCCCTGTATGAATCATATTTTCCCTAACCAATCAGTAAGAAGACGAAAGTTTATAAAATTGGAGAGGAGCTTGCAAGATATGTCACAGTGTTGCCAATTTGTGTTTCAATGATGACAACTTTGAAAATATATAACTTTCTTATTTCTAGTCGGTTTTTGCTCAAACTTTCACTGACCTGTTTCTCTCATTTTCCTGCTTTTATTAAAAGCAACTTAATATCAGGGTGGACTTCCCCTTTAACACTCACCTTTGCTTTCTCCTGGACTCCCCTCTTCTCTTCTGCTTCAAGTTGTTTCTTTGTCTTCTCTAGCCTCCAGTTGGCTTTTCTCGATTCCTGCTCCTTAGTTGTTCTTTCCTCAATCCACATGTTGACCTTGACCTCAATGACCTTAGCTTTCTCCACCTTCATCTTCTCCTCTTCTGCAATCTTCAGCTGTTTCTCCCTCTGCAGCTTGGCCTAAACTTGATAAAGAGAGAAAAGAAGAGAAAAGAGTGAGTGAGAGTGAGAAAGGGGGGAGGAAGGAGAGGGAGAGAAAGGGGGGAGGAAGGAGAGGGAGAGTAAGAGAGAGAGGAAGGAGAGTGAGAGAGCGGGGATTGGGAGGGGATTGGGAGGAGAGGCTGGAGAGGGAGAGTAAGAGAGAGAGGAAGGAGAGTGAGAGAGCGGGGATTGGGAAGGGATTGGGAGGAGAGGCTGGAGAGGGAGAGTAAGAGAGAGAGGGAGAGTGAGAGAGAAGGGGAGAGGCTGGATAGAGAGAGAGAGAGAGAGAGAGAGAGAGAGAGAGGAGGAGAGTAGGGGAAGGGAGAGAGAGAGAGAGAGAGAGAGAGAGAGAGAGAAGAGAGTGAGAGAGAAAGGGGGAAGGAAGAGAAAGGGGAAGGAGAGGGAGAGAGACAGACAGAGGGAGAGTGACAGACAGACAGAGGGAGAGTGAGAGAGAGAGGGAGAGTGAGAGAGGGGGAAGGGGAGAGGCTGGATAGAGAGAGAGAGAGAGAGAGAGAGAGAAGGGAGAGAGGGAGGAGAGTACGGGAAGAGAGAGAGAGAAGAGAGTGAGAGAGAAAGGGGGAAGGAGAGGGAGAGAGACAGACAGAGGAGACAGAGGAGAGAGAGGGAGAGAGAGAGAGAAGAGAGTGAGAGAGAAAGGGGGAAGGAAGAGAAAGGGGAAGGAGAGGGAGACAGACAGAGAGGGAGACAGACAGAGAGGGAGAGTGAGAGAGGGGGAAGGGGAGAGGCTGGATAGAGATAGAGAGAGAGAGAGAGAGAGAGAGAGAGAGAAAGAGCAAGATAGAGAGGGAGAGTGAGAGAGAAGGGAGAGAGGGAGGAGAGTAGGGGAAGGGAGAGAGAGAGAGAGAAGAGAGTGAGAGAGAAAGGGGGAAGAGAGAGAAAGGGGGAAGAGAGAGAAAGGGGGAAGGAAGAGAAAGGGGAAGGAGAGGGAGACGGACAGAGAGGGAGACGGACAGAGAGGGAGACAGAGAGGGAGAGTGAGAGAGGGGGAAGGGGAAGGGGAGAGGCTGGATAGAGAGAGAGAGAGAGAGAGAGAGAGCAAGATAGAGAGGGAGAGAGGGAGGAGAGTAGGGGAAGGGACACAGAGAGAGAGAGAGAGAGAAGAGAGAGAGAGAGAAGAGAGTGAGAGAGAAAGGGGGAAGGGAGGGGAAGGGGAAGGAGGGGGAAGGACGGGGAAGGAGAGGGAGAGAGACAGACAGACAGAGGAGGGAGAGAGGGAGAGTGAGAGAGAGAGATGGAAAATGGAGAGGGGAGGGAGGGGGAGGGGGAGGAGGGGAGAGGGGGAGAAGATTCAGAATATAGTGAAAAGGTAAGGATCACGACACCTCACCAACAGCTAAGGTAAAGACAATACTCTCAATTTGTGGTCATTAAAAGGGTGCTAGAAATTCTAGCACCAACTTAAATAACATTTTACATCAAATACCACACTTTAAACAAAATGAAGTTAGCAAAACTTTAAACAATATGCGGCAAACGCTGGTGGCCCTCACCCTATCTAGCCCCCCCCCCCCTCTACATTTTCAGGTGGGCTGTATATAATACAGACCACCTTATGTTTTCGTTAAAATTGCCTTTATTTCTTTATCAGGTGGGCTGTATAACGTACAGACCACCTTATAATTTCGTTAGAATTGCCTTTATTTATTTATTTATTAAATATTTTTCTTATTTCTAACCACTTTTTTGTTAGCAAGATAACTTGAAAATGGCTCGATCAAATGCCTTGAAATTTGACACACATATGTATAGGCATATGTACAAAGCACAATAACGTTTTCAACATTGACCTTCACTGATGACGTCATCTAGGCGCCATTTTGTAACTAGATGGAATTCGACTGCGCGCAGTCGAAAATGATGCCTCCGTCATAGAGCAATTTTACAAACCAAAACAGAAGAAATTTTTCAAATTCAAGTTCAATTGTAATCCATTAACAGGTTCTCAGAATATCGTGATTACAAACAATTTCTCATATACATATATGACCCTTTGAACTTTGACCTCATGATCCTAATATCTACTCAGCTCATTGGCTCTGCAAGATATCCAGAGTTAAATAGTAATCCATCTGTCAGTTCTAATGAGAATGCGTTTACAAGCTATTTTTGCATACATAATGAGCCCATGACCTTGGACCTTATGAACCAAGAATCTACACAGTTCATTGGCTCTGCAAGATACATAAATGATCTAAGTTTGGCAGGAATCCATCAATCTGTTCTAATGATAACGCGATCACAAGCTGTTTTTGCATACATAATGGGCGCTGTGACCTTTGACCTTTGACCTCGTTACCCAAAATCTAATAAGTTCATCGGCTCTGCAAGTAACATACATGACCTAAGTTTGGCAGAAATCCATCAATCGGTTCTTGAGATAACGCGATCACAAGCTGTTTTTGCATACATAATGAGCCCTGTGACCTTTGACCTTTGACCTCGTGACCCCAAAATCTAATCAGTTCATTGGCTCTGCAAGATACATACATGACCAAAGTTTGGCAGGAATCCATCTATCGGTTCTTCAGATAACGCGATCACGAGCCGTTTTGCATACATAATGAGCCCTGTGACCTTTGACCTTTGACCTCGTGACCCCAAAATCTAATCAGTTCATCGACTCTACAAGATACATACATGACCAAAGTTTGGCAGGAATCCATCCATCGGTTCTTCAGATAACGCGATCACGAGCTGTTTTTGCATACATAATGAGCCCTGTGACCTTTGACCTTTGACCTCGTGACCCCAAAATCTAATCAGTTCATCGACTTTGCTAGATACATATATGACCAAAGTTTGGTAGGAATCCATTGATCCGTTCTTCAGATAACGTGATCACGAGAACGGGACGTACGTACAGACGTACGTACAGACGTACGGACGGACGGACGGACGGACAACCCGAAAACATAATGCCTCCGGCTACTTCGTAACGGAGGCATAAAAATCAACTCATGATCATATCTTCATAACCAAAAGCTATTTCTCATTCATATTTATCACGATCGAGGTCAATATCCGTCCGGTCAATTTCAGGTCAAATAACGCGCACGTGCGCGTACGTCCGCGCGTCAATGCGCGCGCAAAATTTTAAAATGCTCAAAATCGTCTCAAAATCATTTTGCATACGTTTTAGGCCATTCTAAGCATTTTATAAAAAAAATCGCGCACGCGCGCATGCGCGCGCATTTTCGCGCGTTAAAATAATACACAACATAGAATCGCCATTTCTTTACTTTCATAATATTGCACATATTTTTACAAACAAATTGATACCATGTTTACTATTAATAACGGAATGATCACCCGTTTAACATAAATTTCCGTGCGCGCGAGCTCTTGTAATACATATCATAAATGGGCAAAAAGATGCCTATACAAAATCCATTGTAGCTCTTTAGGATGCAAGGTGACCCGAATTTTGTTCTTCTTATTGTGATAGAATATGAATTGGAGATATGATTTCAAGTCTCATTTGACCCTTACTTTTCTCATGACGTCATCATAATGGCATCCGAACTCATAATTTCAATTTGCATATTATGATGTCAGCATATTTTTCAAAAATTGATTGCATCGCTGTAAATATTGATCGATTTTCTTCCAAATTTCGATATGTTCTAGCTGAGACAATTCATTACAAATGTAGTTAACAACATTTTTCATTTTTGACAAAGGAATCATGGCGTATTTTTGCGATTAAAGGAGGCATGTCAATTTTTCACTTTTTGCGTGTATTCTCTATGGGACATGACTTTTTCTCAAAACTGGATTCTACATTCCCGTCTTTCGCGAGCCATATCTCCGTCGTTTTAGCTTCGTTTACGCTGAACTTTGAGTATGATGTAGCTGAGACAATTAGCTATCTCAAATGTGCTCTTCATTTTGTCTAAAATTTTAGTTGGACCAGCCCACCTATACTTGTTCCAAACAAGTATTACAAATCTAGTTTTATTTCTAACCACTTTTTTGTTAACAAGATAACTTGAAAATGGTTCAATCAAATGCCTTGAAATTTTGCACACATATGTATAGGCATATGGACAAAACACGGTAAGGTTTTTAATCTTGACCTTGACTGATGACGTCATCTAGGCGCCATTTTGTGAAATTTTCTGAAAATCAACTCATGATCATATCTTCATAACCAAAAGTTTTTTCTCATTCATATTTATCATGATCAAGGTCAATATCAGTGCGGTCAATTTAAGGTCAAAAAACGCGCGCGTGCGCGTACGTCCGCGCGTCGGTACGCGCGCAAAATTTAAAAATGCTCAAAATCGTTTCAAATTTATTTTGCATACGTTTTAGGCCATTTTAAGCATTTTATAAAAAATCGCGCACACGTGCATGCGCGCGCGCGTTTTCGCGCGTTACACCATTACTTAACTTTGAATCGCCATTTTTTTTCTTTTATGATAATTCCCATATTTTTTCAAACAATTTGATACCATGTTTATCTCTTTATGACAATTAATAACAAGATGAGAATCCATTTAACATAAATTTCCGTGCGCGCGAGCTTATGTAATACATAGCATATATGGGCAAAAACATGCTTATACAAAATCCATTATAGCTCTTTGAGATGCACCTGGACTCCCAATTTTTTTTTCATATTTTGATAGAGTATGAGTTGGAAATATGATTTCATGTCTCATTTGGCCATTAAAAATATTCTGACGTCATCATAATGGCCCTTAAACTCAAAATACAAATTTGCCTATTATGACGTCAGCATTTTTATGGAAAATTGATTGTATCTCTGTAAATATTGATCAATTTTCTTCCAAATTTCGATATGTTGTAGCTAAAACAATTCTCTACAAGCTCAGTAATCCTCATTTTTCATTTTGATGACGTCATCATAGTGAAAATTTCGATTAAAGGCCTCATCTCAGAAATTTCATAATGTTCTTTTTATGCCTAGAGAAGCTGAATTACGTTCACGTCATGAATCTACATGATATTGTTCTTTTAGCATTTTAAAGCAGTGTCTCGCTTATTTTTGCTCTATTTTGTCTCAAATTTTAGTTGGACCAGCCCACCTATACTTGTTCCAAACAAGTATTAGATGTCTAGTTATTATATATTTTTCTTATTTCTAACCACTTTTTTGTGAACAAGATAACTTGGAAATGGCTCAATCAAATGCCTAGAAATTTGGCACACATATGTATAGACATATGTACAAAGCACAATAACGTTTTCAACATTGACCTTCACTGATGACGTCATCTAGGCGCCATTTTGTAAAATTTTACGAAAATCAACTCATGATCATATCTTCATAACCAAAAGGTATTTCTCGTTCATATTTATCATGATCAAGGTCAATATCCGTCCGGTCAATAAAAGGTCAAATAACGCGCGCCTGCGCGTACGTCCGCGCGTCAATGCGCGCGCAAAATTTTGAAATGCTCAAAATCGTCTGAAAATCATTTTGCATACGTTTTAGGCCATTCTAAGCATTTTATAAAAAATCGCGCGTACGAGCATGCGCGCGCGTTTTCGCGCGTAAAACTTTTGCACAACATTGAATTGCTTTTTTTTTTCTTTCATAATATACCACATATATTTACAAACAAATTGATACCACGTTTGTCTCTTTATGACTATTAATAACGGATTGATCGACCGTTTAACAAAAATTTCCGTGCGCGCGAGCTCTTGTAATACATAGCAAATATGGGCAAAAACATGCCTATACAAAATCCATTGTAGCTCTTTAGGATGCAAGGTGACCCCAATTTGTTTTCATATTTTAATAGAGTATGATTCGGAGATATTGTTTCATGTCTCATTCGACCCTCAATTAACTCATGACGTCATCACAATGGCCTCCGAACTCAAAATTCCAATTTGCATATTATGACGTCAGCATATTTATGGAAAATTGATTGTATCTCTGTAAATATTGATTGATTTTCTTCCAAATTTTGATATGTTCTAGCTGAGACAATTCTCTACAAAGGCAATTGCTATTATTTTTCATTTTGACAAAGGCATGGCGTATTTTTGCGATTAAAGGAGGCATGTAAATTTTTTACATTTTGCGTATATTCTCTATGGGATATGACTTTTTCTCAAAACTCTATTCTACATTCCCGTCTTTCGCGAGCAATATCTACGTCGTTTTAGCTTCGTTTACGCTGAACTTCGAGTATGTTGTAGATGAGACAAAAAGCTATCTCAAATGTACCCTTTATTTTGTCTCAATTTTTTGTTGGATCAGCCCACCTATACTTGTTCCAAACAAGTATTACAAATCTAGTTATTATTTATTATTCTTTATCAGGTGGGCTGTATATCGTACAGACCACCTTATAATTTCGTTAGAATTGCCTTTATCAGGTGGGCTGTATATAGTACAGACCACCTTATAATTTCGTTAGAATTGCCTTTATTTATTATTATTAAATATTTTTCTTATTTCTAACCACTTTTTTGTGAACAAAATAACACAAAAATGGCTCAATCAAATGCCTTGAAATTTGGCACACATATGTATAGGCATATGTTCGAAGCACAATAACGTTTTCAACATTGACCTTCACTGATGACGTCATCTAGGCGCCATTTTGTAAAATTTTACGAAAATCAACTCATGATCATATCTTCATAACCAAAAGCTATTTCTCATTCATATTTATCATGATCAAGGTCAATATCCGTTTGGTCAATTTCAGGTCAAATAACGCGCGCGTGCGCGTACGTCCGCGCGTCAATGCGCGCGCAAAATTTAAAAATGCTCAAAATCGTCTCAAAATCATTTTGCATACGTTTTAGGCCATTCTAAGCATTTTATAAAAAATCGCGCACATGCGCATGCGCGCGCGTTTTCGCGCGTAAAACTATTACACAACATAGAATCGCCAATTTTTTTTCTTTCATAATATTTCACATATTTTTACAAACAAATTGATACCATGTTTGTCTCTTTATGACTATTAATAACGGAATGATCGACCGTTTAACATAAATTTCCGTGCGCGCGAGCTCTTGTAATACATAGCATATATGGGCAAAAACATGCCCATACAAAATCCATTGTAGCTCTTTAGGATGCAAGGTGACCCCAATTTGTTTTCATATTTTAAAAGAGTATGATTCGGAGATATTGTTTCATGTCTCATTTGACCCTCAATTAACTCATGACGTCATCATAATGGCCTCCGAACTCAAAATTCCAATTTGCATATTATGACGTCAGCATATTTATGGAAAATTGATTGTATCTCTGTAAATGTTGAGTGATTTTCTTCTAAATTTTAGTATGTTCTAGCTGAGACAATTTTCAACAAATAATAAAGTCACGATTTTTCATTTTGACAAAGGCATCATGGCGTATATTTGCGATTAAAGGTGGCATGTCAATTTTTCACATTTTGCCTGTATTCTCTACGGGACATTACTCTTTCTCAAAACTGGGTTCTACATTTCCGTCTTTCGCGAGCAATATCTCCGTCGTTTTAGATTCTTTTACGCTGAACTTCGAGTATGTTGTAGCTGAGACAATAAGTTATCTTAAATGTGCCTTTGATTTTGTCTCAATTTTAGTTGGACCAGCCCACCTATACTTGTTCGAAACAAGTATTACAAATCTAGTTTGTGATTATTTTTCAACGATAAAGAATCTGTGCTGAAATTTTACGTCTTTTTCTTTCGAGCCTTGCGCATCTTTTGAAATAAATTTTTCGAAAATCGTACCTACCGTTACAAAGTCACTCAACCCTTTGTCTTTGCATGTCAGTCCAAAATCGCTCATTTCATGATTTATGTACAAAACATGTATGGAAATCTCATTTTTCAAAAAAAGAGATAAAACATTGGTTATTTGTTCTTGTTTATAGCTTAGGTGTTTATTTCGGGGTTCAAAATAGTTGAATTTAAGTTATAATTAAAATAAAACAAAAAAAACAATAAAATACATACATAACTAGATGGAATTTTGACTGCGCGCAGTCGAAAATGATGCCTCCGCCATAGAGCAATTTTAAACAAGTTTGGAGTTTAAATCTCCAGTGGTTCTTGAGATATCATGATAACAATCTCAATGTATGGAATTTCATAAGTTGACCTCTGTGACCCTTGACCTTTGACCTACGTGCTCCAAAATCTAATCAGATTGTCTTCCTATGGTGATACACACTATCATTAAGTTTGAAGTTTAAATCTCCAGTGGTTCTTGAGATATTATGATAACAATCTCAATGTATGGAATTTCATAAGTTGACCTCTATGACCCTTGACCTTTGACCTACGTGCTCCAAAATCTAATCAGATTGTCTTCCTATAGTGATACACACTATCACTAAGTTTGAAGTTTAAATCTCCAGTGGTTCTTGAGATATTATGATAACAATCTCAATGTATGGAATTTCATAAGTTGACCTCTATGACCTTTGACCTTTGACCTACGTGCTCCAAAATCTAATCAGATTGTCTTCCTATAGTGATACACACTATCACTAAGTTTGAAGTTTAAATCTCCAGTGGTTCTTGAGATATCATAACAATCTCAATGTATGGAATTTCATAAGTTGACCTCTGTGACCCTTGACCTTTGACCTACGTGCTCCAAAATCTAATCAGATTGTCTTCCTATGGTGATACATACTATCCTTAAGTTTGAAGTTTAAATCTCAAATGGTTCTTGAGATATCGCGCTAACAAACTCAATACAAGGAATTTCATAAGTTGACCTCTGTGACCTGTGACCTTTGACCTACGTACTCCAAAATCTAATTGGATCGTCTTCCTATGGTGATACATACTATCCTTAAGTTTGAAGTTTTTACATCTCCAGTGGTTCTTGAGATATCATGATAACAATCTCAATGTATGGAATTTCATAAGTTGACCTCTGTGACCCTTGACCTTTGACATACGTGCTCCAAAATCTAATCAGATCGTCTTCCTATGGTGATACATACTATCCTTAAGTTTGAAGTTTAAATCTCAAATGGTTCTTGAGATATCGCGCTAACAAACTCAATACAAGGAATTTCATAAGTTGACCTCTGTGACCTGTGACCTTTGACCTACGTACTCCAAAATCTAATTGGATCGTCTTCCTATGGTGATAAATACTATTCCCGAGTCTTAAGTTAAAATCTTAAATGGTTCTTGAGATATTGTGATAACGGTCAAACGGGACGGACGTACGGACGGACAACCCGAAAACATGATGCCTCCGGCACCACCTTCGGTGGCGGAGGCATAAAAAGGAAATACATAAGGAATAACCTGGCTATTCCAATTTTCTTTTGGTATTACTATCCCCAATGGTCTAAAGAATATATGTACCGGTAGTGAAAATGTTTAAATATGAAGAATATATGATTTATAGGTAAAAATGTGAATGTTATTACCTTATTTGCATGAATTACCATTAAAGGTAAAGACCAGTATTGGAAACGCCCTAATTTCAAAAAATGAAATGGAAGCTCTCATTACCAATCATATGAAAGAATATGTTTTGACTAATACATGATGATAAAAAATTTCCCGGGAAACCGCCTACTAATTCATATATTTCGGAAATTTGTTTCTCTCATGGTCTGTGAGAGATATAGGGTAGTCCCATATACATCTTTCTGTGTATAGTGCTTGTAACTTTACGAAGAATGGGCAAAATTTCTTATCATTTTGATGATTCCAGAACCTTGCAGATGCTAGATGCTAGATGATCAACCTTTTCTGATCGATTGCACGTTTCTTTTACAATGCAATCGCATGACCATAACTGGTCTTTACCTTTAATATGCAAATGAGTGAATTTTTCTATACATTTCACTTGCATGCATGCATGCAAATTTTCGCAGAGAACAAAAGGGGGGGCCTTAGAAGTGTTGAGATTGTAAATAATAAACTCTTTTATGTTGTAAAGCTCCCTCTCAAGGTCAATATATTAATTTAGCTATTAACCAGTGTTTCTTGACTAAAATGGACTGATTGGCTATAGATTGGAAATTACATATCACAACTGCATATTCTTAGATTTTCATGGTTGCAGCTACCATTGTATGGCCTTAGGCGCTACCGGTATTTGAAACTATCAAAATTTACCAGGCACACCGGTAAATTTTGATATTCAATTTTTCTCGAAACCAGAAGTGTTTTAGGGGCTAAATTTTCTAGTGTTTATAATGCATCCACAGGGGCATCCAAATATATCAAAATTGTAAAGAATCACTATCCAGCCAATTTTCGAAATTTCCCAAAACTTTGTATTACCTTTAAAGGTGAGGGGTTTGATGGGACTGCCAACAGCCCTATAGACCAACTGTAAGTTTCATTACATTTATTTCTTCTTGGGTTCCCAAAGTTAGGGGGATATGCCAGCTCATACACCACCATTTGCAGTTTTGTAGACCCCACACCCTTTCTCTTTTGTCCGCAAGAACTTTGAAGATCCCGTTTAGTAACAGCATTACCTTTTCTTTCACTCTCTTTCTCTCTTGCTTAGTCTTTTTGATCAGCCATTTCTCCCACGGGGTCAACTGCGAGACTTTGTTGGATGTCGTCTGCGAGGTGGATGTTGAATGGGAGTCACTGGTCTTTGGCAGGGAGTACCTGGACGATTTGCTGCAACACTCCCGTCTGAGACCTTTGAGCGAGAGGTCGATAAAGGCCTTGATCGTGACTGACTGAATTCAAAGGGACTCGGTTGGGCCACACATATTGACCAAACTTCATCAAATTATATGTAGGCTCAAATTAGAGTTCTATGCAGCTACATGTACAGTACATGGGACCCACAGCATAAGTCAGACCAGGACAAACTAAACATTCACAACGAGGAACTATGACAGGGAATCAAGTGTTACAAAGATGCTGGAAAATCAAAAATGGGAATCTTTGAAAGTCCGCAGAACCAAAGCCAGACTACCTGCATTGTATAAGGAAACACATAACACATGGATTAACACCCAGCAACATATCAACTTATCTTCTCATTTGAAAATGGTGCTACGGTACATACTTTATACTCTTTGCATTGCAGCTTTCTTGCATATCTATGCATCCACAACAACCACTGAGCTGATAAGAGATTTAAGCAACTACCCAAAGATTGATATTTAAAAACTAGATATCTTCGAAACAATGATATTTCCACCTTTCAATTAACATCAAATACTCCACTTTTGAAATTGATCATGTCTGGTGACGTGGAGCGTAATCCGGGACCTGAACATTCAAATTTGTTACGTCATACACTCAATTGTCTACTACTAAATGCCTGTTCCCTTGGTAATAAACTGAATAACCTGAAAGTGAGTTACTTCCGATAAAATAGATGGATGAACTCCAATTCCTGCGATGGTGAAATCTTAGATGTACAACAATATCAAATCTTTCGTAAAGACCACAATCACAACGGAGGTGTACTTTTTGCATGAAAACGATTCACGGCTCCGAGTTTGAGATTCCCAGCTGCGAGTTGTTATGGATTCAATTTAGTTTACCACGAAATAAAGGCAAGCTCTTTTTGGGTGTATGCTATCGTCCCCCATCATCTAATGCTACCTTCCGTGATGGACTAAATAAGTCCTTTGTTCTTATCACCCACATATTTCTTCTTTCAAATCCATTATTTTATGCAGTGGTTTCCATATTCATAACTCGGTTCCATTTGAATTAGACTGTAGTCGTGTGCCACAGTTACTTCCTAGGGTTTTCCATCAATTTCACAAAGCAGATAGCGTACACTATGAATATGACTGACAAAGAAAGCGGACAAAATATACAGTTCTTCAGGTAGACAAAGGAACATCCCTTCACTGCTATTATGTAAAAATATGTAGAACTGGTGTCACATGCATATTCCTTTGTCTACCTGAGGAACTGTATATTTTGTCCGCTTTCTTTGTCCGTCATATTCATAGTCGTAGATTTACAGAAAACGATTGAATTTATTCCATGGAATCTATTTATTGATGAAGAGAGCATTGATAACACGTGTGAACTTCACACTGACTTGTGTTGCAGGCAACAATCAAAGATGTATTTATCAAAGGAAATAGTTAGAATATCCAGAAGAGAGAGAAGAGCTTACAGAAGAGCTTACAGAAGAGCTTACAGAAGAGCTTTAATACAGGAAAGCAAAGAAAGCAAAGAAAGCAAAGAAAGCAAAGAAAGCAAATAATCACATACTGTACATGGAAAGAGGATTTCCATAACAATGAAACACCTTGCTCTATTGTGTATACTCCAAGACATTTAAATGCCATTACCAAATCATGCATGCCCAAGTCTTGCCAGTATCATTCTTTGAGTATTTAAATAGAGGAACAGCTGAAAAGTCTTTTATCTAATCACACGTTGAAAAGTGATTGTTATAACTTTCACTGATTGTGCATATATTAAGATGCATGGTGGGAAATCAATTGTTCAGGCAATGATTATTCATCAGCTCATCATGTTTATGCATAAGTCACAAGAAATGTTGGTGAGGAGGGGATAAGTTGTTAAACTGTCCTAAAAACTCTTTATCTGTTGGTAAGGTATATATGGAGGAGACTGCACTTGTACTGGATGTGACGCCATGTTCACATGCAGGGCCAGATCATCAGTTGGGGGGAAAATGGGGTTAAAATTTGTGGGGTAAGTATATGCTGTATATCTGGCCCTGTTGTCACAGTTCCATGTTAGTAGTTTTCTGCTGGCATGGATCTCCCCTGATCCTCCCCCGATGGCAATTTTCGAATATGATAAATCAAAGAATATCAAAGCTCTCGATATATCTTGAGCATTTCTCACTCTGTTTAAGAAGGTGACTACTAAGAAGCCGGCCGCTGAGATGGTTGCTATGTACAGCATATAATGTTTAACCATTATTTTCATGCACTAGATGTGTATTTTTTGTTTTGTTTTTGAGACTTTGAGACGGTTTTAGTAATGTAATAAAAAACATGCTGATGCGTATTGACCTCTAGCGTGGTATACTTGCTGAGAGGCAGCACGATTTGAATTTTCAAAGTATTCTTTCTAACATCATTAAGTTGAAACAAGGGAAACGCTCTCGGCGGTCTCGCCTGCATTACGCAATTTGTTATGATGAAAAATTGAAGTTGGAACATTATTATAGGCAGGGTGGCCCATTAGCAGGCCCCAAAAAATGAAATCCTCTGAATATAATCAGCATTTTGAAGTGAATATTGATTAAGAATCATGAACAAATAACAAAAATTGATTCATTTATTCTCATATTAAGTTTTGAAAACATAATCCAAGGCTACTGACCTAAAATGACCTTTGACCTTGTGACCTGGAATTTGTGTCATATGACTTGTGATACTTGATAACCCTTGGGTACAACTTTCATGGAATTTGAACAAACACTTTTGGAAATATGCTAAAAATTCAAAATCTTGATGTTGATAACACAAAAAAGTCTAAGTTTGTTGACCTAAAATGACCTTTGACCTCAACTCACATGATTAGGGATACTTGATAACCCTAAAGTCCAAGTTTCATTGACTAAGGACTTGTACTTCAGCCGTCGCCGTCGCCGTCGCTGGAAAAGCGGCGCTTAAATGTCTCGCTTTTTTGCTACGCAGGCGAGACAAAAAAGAGCCAGGTTATTCCTTATGTTATCTATTGTTCTGATAATTTCTCATGTATTTCTTTGTTTTTTAACTTATGTATTTTGTTGTTTTATTTCATTTCTAACTATAATTCAACTAATTTGACCCCCAAATAAGTATAAACAAGACCAAATAACCAATGTTTTATCTCTTTTTTGGAAAAATGAGATTTCCATATGTTTTGTACACAAATCACAAAAATGAGTGATTTGGGCTGACATGCACAGACAAAAGGTCATGTGACTTTGTCCGTTTTTTGAAAAATATATTTCAAAAGATGCGCCAGACTTGAAAGAAAAAAGTTATACATTTCAGCGCAAGATTCTTTTGCGTTAAAAATGTATCAGGAAAAATGTAGGGCGGGGGCTTCTGAAGACCCCCCCCCCCCCCCCCCAGGCTAGATAGGGCTAAAGATAAAGTTGATTTCTGGTCATGCGATTGCATTGTGAAAGAAACGGTGAGAAATCGATCAGAAAAGGTGTGAACTGCAAGGTTCTGGAATCATCAAAATGATAACAAATGTGGACCAGTCTTGGTAAAGTTACAAGCACTATACACAGAAATATGTATATGCAGGGCTTAAATTAATCCAAGGCCACCAAGGCCATGGATGCCCCTTTGATTGGCCTCAATGATTTTTTGTGCCCTTTCCAATTCTTCTTATTTGTGCTGTAATATAGGAATGTGCCCTGCAGAAAAGTGGCCTTGCCCTAAAAATGTTGAAATTTAAAGCCTGTATATGGGACTACATGAACATTTGGCGTAAAAATCTGTCCCGATTTTTATGCTGTTACATGAAATATTTAGAATATTAAGGCATTTGAAGAGCCATGCTTTTCAGGAAACATTTGTTATCTGATGTTCTACAGACATGTATAATAACAGTGATAATTTATTTATTTATTTATTTATTTATTTATCATTCTTCGTCATCTTTAAAGTTTACAGCTGATGTGATCTTCACCAGTTGCTTTATCTATACTCAGATTATCAATCTGTTTCAATACAAAATCCTCAGTAATCAAATTCAAATTAAATTGCGAATGAGTTGGACCCATATTATTGTCCTCGTCTAATGCTCACAAATTATTGTTCACCTGTTCCCAGAACTCAACCTTCTCTTTAAGAGAGCCCTGTTAGCCATAGAAATTGCCTACGGGAAGTGGTCTTATTCTATACTTACTTCACAAACCCATGCTCCCATTATCCACAATAAAATTATACATATGGACATGGAGCAATCAAATTTGCATTTGCAAACTCTGCAAAAATCACATGATAATGATAATTAAACAAGTTAAACACAAAACACATAAAACAAAAGTAATTTGGTTGTCCTTGACTGCCAGCTCGTCATTTTCGGGCAGCTCATCAAAACATCACCAAACACTAAAAAGGTGTAGATGATTGTACTAAGACACACCTCCATACAACATTTGAAAGAAATCTGTCAAAAAATGTGGCAGTTAGAGCACATTAAAGACATATTTGACCTTTGACCATATAAAAGACGGAACAATGAGGGCAGCTTCACCCGAAGTGTCGATTGGTAACAAGATACATTTCTAATTCTCTATACAAAATTTGAAAGATGAAATATGATCTGCAGAGCGCAAACTAGACACCCACCAAAATATGAACTCTTGACCCTATACATGTACAAGACGGAAAACTGGGGGCAGCATCACCAAAATCTATATGCTTGTAGATTATACCAAGATACATCTTTGTTGAAAATTTGCCCGCATGTTTTGCCTCTGCTCTTAGACCAACATTATGCATTTCAAAGTCATGAAAAGGCAATAAATATCAACAAACATGGTCTACAACAACTCTTAATGACAAAATAATCCCAGCCATGAATTTTTTTAAGCATTTGATAGCCCAAAACATGACAATTTTCGTCATTAAAAAAAATTAAAAAAATCAGCCGATTTTTTTGTCGATCTTCTGATCCGATAACGATCATAGGTGCGAGGGTGTCGCTCCGATCTTTCGATCCGATCAGAGCCCCAACTTACAGGGTTACCTTTTAACCTATAGAAGACGGAACACTGGGGGCAGCATCACCAAAAGTTATAGGTGTGTAGATTATCCAAAGATACACCTCGATACAAAATTTGAAAGAAATCCGTCAAGGAATGATGCAGTTAGAGCGCACACAAGAATAAAATATGGCCTTTTACCCTGTAAAAGATGGAACACTGGGGGCAGCATCACCAAAAGTTATAGGTGTGTAGATTATACCAAGATACACCTCCATACACAATTTGAAAGAAATCCGTCAAGGAATGATGCAGTTAGAGCGCGCTCAAGAATAAAATAATATGACGCGGTGGCGTAACGCTGCTGAATCCAAAGTACCCCACCGGCATACTGCCGGGGGATACAATTATTTCAAAGATGTTTTTATACAACCCCTGTATGAATCATATTTTCCCTAACCAATCAGTAAGAAAACTAAAGTTTATAAAATTGGAGAGGAGTTTGCAAGATATGTCAGTGTTGCCAATTTGTGTTTCAATGATGACAACTTTGAAAATATATAACTTTCTTATTTCTAGTCGGTTTTTGCTCAAACTTTCACTGACCTGTTTCTCTCATTTTCCTGCTTTTATTAAAAGCAACTTAATATCAGGGTGGACTTCCCCTTTAACACTCACCTTTGCTTTCTCCTGGACTCCTCTCTTCTCTTCTGCTTCAAGTTGTTTCTTTGTCTTCTCTAGCCTCCAGTTGGCTTTTCTCGATTCCTGCTCCTTAGTTGTTCTTTCCTCAATCCACATGTTGACCTTGACCTCAATGACCTTAGCTTTTTCCACCTTCAGCTGTTTCTCCCTCTGCAGCTTGGCCTCAACTTGATAAAGAGAGAAAAGAGAAACGAGTGAGTGAGAGTGAGAAAGGGGAGGAAGGAGAGGGAGAGTAAGAGAGAGGGAGGAGAGTAGGGGAAGGGAGAAAGAGAGAGAGAGAGAGAGAGAGAGAGAAGAGTGAGAGAGAAAGGGGGAAGGAAGAGAAAGGGGAAGGAGGGGGAAGGACAGGGAAGGAGAGGGAGAGAGACAGACAGACAGAGGAGGGAGAGTTGATAGAGAGAGTTGAGAGAGAGAGATGGAAAAGGGGGCGGGAGGGAGGGGGAGGGGGAGGAGGAGGAGGGGAGAGGGGGAGAAGATTCAGATTATGGTAAAAAGGTAAGAATCACGACACCTCACCAACAGCTAAGGTAAAGACAATACTCTCAATTTGTGGTCATAAAGGGTGCTAGAAATTCTAGCACCAACTTAAATAACATTTTACATCAAATACCACACTTTAAACAAAATGAAGTTAGCAAAACTTTAAACAATATGCGGCAAACGCTGGTAGCCCTAAGAATAAGTTCGTTAATGAAGACTTAATACAAATATTTATTGGAGATTGCTTAATACAACAAGTTAAACAAACAAAAATTTTAGGAGTTACAATTGATGATAAAATAACAGAAATTACATATTGATAACGTTTGTTCAAAAATTTCTCAAGCCGTAGGGGAAATGAATAGGTTAAAAATAAGGCTGTGCACAACAGTGTAATGAGGTACCCGAGTACACTCCCAGGCTTACAAGCGAATACTTGAGTAATCGGACGCCATGTTTTTTTATAATTTTTTTTGAATTTTTTTGAATTTTTTTGATTTTTTTTTTTTTTTTTGCCACCACCATACCACTGGGGCAGTATCTCACGTCGCCGAAAACGCATGCAATTTTACTTTGAGTTGCAGTTGAAGGCGCCGATTTAATAATAATAATAACAGTAAACAATGGTGTTTTAAAAACCAAAGATGGCAGAATAATCCATTTTCCTCCAAGTCCAAACAGAAATCCAGACATTTGGTCCCAGTTTCTGAGTGGTGAGTTTGACAGTGCTTGAGTTGGGAAGCATTTTTACCGACGGCACCATGCCAGCGGCCGCCGCTCACCCAGTCACGGGTAAGCGTCAGCCTGGACAGATTTTTTTTTTTTTTTTTTTTTTTGCGGCCGAATATTCGGGTACTAAAAATCGTACCCGAGTAGTTCTCAACTGTGCGGGTACTCGAGCATTCGACTACACGTTGCAGCCCTAGTTAAAAACTGTTGTTCCAATGAGGATTCTTTTAACCCTGTATTACACAATGATTTTACCTTATTTATCATATTGCAATATTGTATGGGGGAACAGTGCAATTGTATCTTAGAAATAGAATTGGAGTACTCCAGAAGTATGCAATACGAGTTATTTGCAATTCACCTCTTGCCCACACAACCCCTTTATTTCAACAGTTTAGTATTTTAAAGGTGGATCAAATGTGTAGTTCGCAAATTGCAATTTTTATGATTACAAAGTGTTGGTAAAAATATTTAATTCATCTGAAACTCTTTGATGTTATAACAAGATGCTATAGGAATATCTTTAACCAATCTCCACCGCTGAAATAGTTTTTTTTTTTTTTTAGTGAATTAAACAGTAATTAATAAATCAATTATTAGTTCCAAGCTGTCTGTATTTAAACCAGCTCATGTTGTTGTATACTAGCGCCATCTACTGTTGTAAACGGTTCATGGTATAATCGATATTGAAACTGTTACGTTCGCCCCGCTCGTGTCTTATTTTTTTGTACCACGGCGAGCCCGGATTCCTATTATTTCATGAATATTCATTACGCAGGGTCGGGGAAAGTCTCGATATCTTGAATATTCATGTTATCGAGGTGGGAAATATGCATGCTGTGCATGTTGTTGAGGTCGCAATCGCAGCTGATTCATGCACGACGCTACTCGCACAAAGTGAGAAGATTTAGTTCACGGAGAATGGAGAATGGGTGAGTAATTGATTGAGTGAATTTAGTAATTAATTTTAATAAAGCTGTAACTCGTGATTTACGGTAATTTCTTTACATTTTGAGACTGTTCTCAACAGATTTTTGGGGAAAAGGCTAGGAAAATATTTCTCTCGAAATTGCACTTTGATTTTCATCGTCGTGAAGTAGTTTGACTGCGGTTTGCCGTCATGTCACCTTAGTACTCCAGTTAGAGCCCAGGGGTTCCGGCAGGCCCACCCCGGGGAATTTCGGTGCTCATCTGCATCAAGATAACACTTTCTAATCAGGTTTTATTCCAAATTTGATCGTCATCGTGAATATAATTCAAAAATCATCGATTGAATTTAAATCTAGATTTAACGTTACACCTTAAAATAATCTATGAAGTATGAATTCTTTTAATAATCCAAGAGGGTTAATTCTTGTTTATATCTTTAGTAGATGTGGACTCTGTAATTGGCTATAGACCTCTAGGGTCTATACTCAGTGCCATATTTCGCTCAGTTGCATCATTGGTGTATGTTAACTTTTAGACCAAAATTGTTTATGACCATGGATAATCAAACGACTCCAAACCCTATTTCATTTAGATGTAAACCTGGAACTTATTAATAAAATATTCAAAGAAAAACAAACAAAAGTAGTCTAGGATTCATTTATTTAATGTTAATTAGATGCTGTGTGTGTCCAGCGCGTGCTTGTCAAGTTGTCATAACTCGTATAGAACTAGACCTATTCAAGATTTTTTTCTCCAAAGTGTGCAGTTCATTTGATAAATCTATTTTTGTTGGACGTTGTATAAGAGAAGACCCCTAGGCTAGTCGACAATTATGTTTTCTTATATGGTATGTAGTCCACCTCTTGTTATAAACTAATTCTACTTAGTACTACTTCATGTTCATACTATAGGCCATAGATACCACTGTTCGAGGCACAAGTTAAATATCTTCCATTTATTTTTACTTTGTACTGTGGTTCATTAAATAGGAATGTTGATTTCCACACCATATTAAAATTAAGGGCAACCATGACATAAAAAATAGCTATTAATTTGTATTATGCTTGATCTATTTTATTTTGTTAAGGAGAAAGGGATTCCTTCATTGTCGTATTGATTTTTTTTTCTTTTTGTTCCAAAAGATTGAAACTGAAGAGCTGGAAGGAGGACATAACAACATCTCTTATATTTGCAAGATGACGCAGAAAGTCCCATGCAGGTAAAGTTATCAGGTTATTTAGCACACTAATATTAAACGACCACCTATTAATTCAATCAAAAGGCCTTGCCCCCCCCCCCCCCCCCCACGAAAAAAAAAAGAGAGAAGAAAGGAAAAGAAGGGAAAGGGAAAGGGAAAGAGGAGAGAAAGGGAAAGAAAGAAGAGGAAGAAGAAAAGAAAAGGGGATTCAAACGTGGTTTATTTTTTATTCCAAAGGTGGATAAAAATAATGCTGAAATGACATATTTCCGAGATTTTTCCTCACTTTTGTATGCGTTTGGTGGAAAATAACAAATTCCTAAATTTACAACCAGGCAAGAAATATGATTCTTGAGATTCCTACATGTCAGGGCCCGAGGAACGGCGGGGATCGGGAGCCTCGAGCTCCCCCCCCCCCCCCCTCCCCCCCCCCTCACTTTAGAAAAAAAGTATATTAAAGAGAAATAAAAAAGAAAGAGCAAGAAAGAAAGAATAGTTAACTGCCAGTGTCAACAAATAATGAGGCATCAAAATTGCTCATCTGACCGTGATTAAATGCCTAAAACCCCTAAGCTTCCGGGGGCTCTGCCCCCTGGATTCCACCTAGGGCCCTAAGGCGGGCCCCTGAATGCTTATCTGACCATAATTTATTGCCTTAAACCCCTGAGCTTCCGGGTCGGACAAGGTATCAAAATGTGTTTATCTGAATGCAGGCCCGTAGCCAGGGGGCGGGTGCGGTCCCCCAAAAGTCACTGCCCCCCCCCCAAAAAAAAAAAGAGAGGAAAGAAAAAGGAGTAATCAAAGAACATCTTTGAAATTCAGACAAGGATTAAGAGTCGAGAACTGTATAATGAATCGTCTTCCTTCTCTAATGATTTAATGAATCGTAAAAGCTTCAGCGCTTTGCTTGGGAGGGGAAAAACTGAATTCAGACGAGGATTTTTTTTTAGAACTGTACAACGAATCGTCTTCTTTCTCTAATAATTTAATGCAACGTCAAAGCTTCCGAAGGAGGGAGGGGGAAACTCGCCCCTCCCTGCACCCCCCCCCCCCCCCCCATTACGTCACTCGCATGGTCCTGGATCCATACAGTACTAGTACCTAGCATATATTGGCTCGCATAATTTCAAATTTTGGACCCCCCCCCCCTTCTAAGAAATCTTCTGGATCCGCGCCTCGTTGCAAGCGTACAGTATAAACTAGTGGAGGGATATATTTTACTTCTAGTTCTGTCACCATAGCATACAATATTGATATTTTATTTGTTATTTACTATTTGTATGTGTTTAGTCTGAGAGCTTCATATCTACATGCAATAAAGTCTACATGTTGTTTATCACAGGTCAACTTTTTCATTTTTTTAAGGATCCTAATCCTCTTGAGAATGAACATGATAACAATTCTAATTCAAAAAGCTCAAACTAAAATCTTATAGGATGAAACTGAGGACTGGGCAGAAAGATTCTCCTTGAAATTTCAGTGATAAAGGTCTATCAGTCGATTTTAAAGATTGAATTAATCAATGATATTTTAATTATAATTATACATATTAAATTCATTTACCTCTATGGACTTCTGTATAAGAAGTTTTGTAGATTATGAAATTATTCCTACTTCAAGTATTGTATGTAAGTAAGAAGGTTTGAAAGACAACCCTATAAATGCATTAAATATGGAAACTGCTAATCATCATTGCCTTTCGTATCCAAACTGTTAACTTTAATAGAATCATGTTTCGATGCTTTCTAACTTAAGAAAACGGGGGGGGGGGGGGGGGGGGGGGGGGTTGCTATCCTCCTCCAGTTGCTGTTACTACATGGTCCAT